ATAGTAGATAAATCAGTTCATTTTTTTTTATTTCCTCCCTTTTTTTCATTGTTTTTTTTTTTTCGTAGAAAGAACCATTCCATAATGTCTCATGCATTCTGGGCAGATAATGTCAAAGTGATTTGGAGGTATTTCTCATCCTATGTATGCATGTATTAATTTATTTAGACTGCTGTGAATAATTTCCAAGTTCTTTCAGACAGGGGCATCTTGTAATATAGGAAAGGGCAGGATTCTATGTTGATTTTTGTTTTGCTTTAAAAAAAAAACTTTTCCTTTGGAAAGTGAAATATTTTGGAATGTTTCCATGTTTTCTATATTCTCCTACATGTTTCACAGACAATGTGACAGTGCCTATTGTGGTGATGCTACATTTAGCTTGATTCTGCTTCTTTTTGGCTGCATTAATTGTATTTCCATATGAATATCTGATTCTGCATTCTGTCTTGATAGGATTAATTCTATAAGTCCTACAATTGATGTTTTTTTTTTTTTAAAGTGGTGAATAAAAAGTTTTGCTATACTTCATTAAAGAAACTATCTTTTTCCTGGGAAGAAATATTTTGTTTATTAGTAACTTGCCCCTTTGACTTTTCAAAGTGTTTTGCTGTATTTCTGCCAGACATTTTTTTTTTAAAGTAACAATGTTGGTAATAATAATGGATCAAAGGCAATCTGTTTACAATGAGGTTTATTTTCTTTTACATGAAAATGCTGCATTTCCAAACAGTAAGGAAGTTATTTATCTTTCAGTTGATTTTTTAAAAAAGAAATCTGAACTAGTTGCAGTAAAAAAAAAAAACAGATCAATGAAAATTTTTTTATCAAGGGTAGGTATGGTGGGAAGATAATTGGCAAAGATTTGTGTGGTATGTGAAATAAATTATTGCATCAGACAATGAAACCTTAATTAGTTGCATTTAAAGGCAAGTACAAATTTGTATTGCTTATGTTTTTTAAGAGGAATAAATGAATAACTAAATAAAAGCACTTTTGTTTCTGAAGACCTCTGATCCTTGATATCCACATGACCTTATCGGGAGGGCCAATTTAACAGACATGTTCTTTAATATCCCTTCATTCATTTGATACTCAACCAGCAACTGTTTTCTCCATTCTTTCTCTTTAATGAATGTGGGGCAGGGAGGGTCAACTATTTCTTTGTACTGTATATGTCATTTATTCTACCATTACATCATTGTGAGGGCTGCCAGCAGGAACTTTCAAATTATATCTACCATGAAGGAGTGGGAAGGAATCAAACATAATAAAATCACAGCATTTTTGGGTGGGATTTGAGTTAGTTAGAATTTACAGTCTGAAATGTTGTGGGCGAAGAATTCTGATATCTACCTACCGGTAGTAGTTTGTTTCAACTTTGCAGAATAAACACCTTCTGGGCATCAATAAAATATGCCTTTAAAACCTACCTGGACCTGAATCCAAGCTGTTTTGTGACCCTTATTCTGTATTTTCTCCCTGCTATCAGAGAGAAATATTAGTATTCTTTTGCTTCATAAACTCTAGAACTTCTTCCTAATATGAGATTTCTCCAAAGAAGGTGGATTGTTGCAACTGCATTTAACATACTTTAAAAGAAAATACAAAAATCTGTCTAGGAAAAGACTGATAATTGTGATGACAACAAGTTTCAATAAACATTGTATCCCTTTGCTTCTCTGTTTGTCCTCTGAAGTTAGCATTTGCATTGGGAGATGTCTAAAATTCAAGGGACATGAATTAATTTCCTTCCATGTGCATAAATTAGCTTCAGAAAATGGGGGAGGGGTTTAATTCTGCAGCAAGGGAGAAAAAGGTGAAACTTCATTCCCATGGGCATTGGCGACTTAGCAATGGTTAAAGTCTACCTTTTTAAGAATTATTTAAAAAGTTAAGATACTGTACATTAATTTGTTCTTCCTTTGCAATGAGCTTCTACCTGCTAATTATTAAGTTCCCATCTGTTTTCCTCCTTTGAGGTGATTTTGGTGATGGCAACACTGCATTTGCAGTTGTTAGCAAAGAGATGTTGGATGCAAATACTGGCCCTTGGTTTTGAGCTTTGGGAGACCACGATTGTTACCTCTATCCTTACTGAGTGAAAAATAGAGCCTACCTGAATGTGAAGGAGTCCTGAAGATGCACGAGCCTTGATCCTATGTCTACCTCACCTCCAATACCATTGCAGCCCATAGGTATTGATAGGTAGATAATAGCAATAGTCCTTGATGCCCTCTGAGCTTGGCTGTTCTCTTGCAGATGCTTCATAGCAAAATTACAATAACAATGGGCCCTGTTTGTTTAATTCATCCATGGATCCTGGAAGTGGACAGTAAACCTATTTGGAATCGGGCCTGTAAGTGGCCAGGTTGGTTAAATGCCCCTGTCTCAAAATGATCAGAGAAAAAGACTATAATCAAGGTGAAGTGGAGTTCTCTAAATCTTCTGAACTGTTTATACCGATGTATTATTCTTAGATATGCTTTCATTCCCAGATTCTAGTTTATTATATGATTATAATAAGCCAATGTCAATGATATTAAATTTGGTAACCTAGTATTTTTAACTTTTTAATTAAATAAATGTAAAAAATGTGCTTGAAAAATAGTATCTACAGTATCCTCTCTTGCTCCTGTATCCAAATTCTGTGTCCCCAAGTTTAGTTTGTCAATAATGTTTTGTTCTGTACTTTTTGCTTCATAATTTACATTCCTCATAATGTGCAGTTAATGGAAACAAATAAGCAGGGGTGTCCTTGCTAATCAGATCTTAATATAGGGGAGTCTCCATTTGGGGGAGACCCCATTCCTGTATAAGTGGTGGAGTATCTGCATAGCAATTCTTCCAGAAAATGTTTAGAGGGTTTAGTTATCTGTGAAGGGTTTTTTTTTAAAGAGAGAAGGTGTTGTACTTTTAATAATTGTGGTTCATAAAATTGTGTTGAGTTTGTTATGGTAGTTGACAAATTCAGTATGGAAATATTCTGTGGGCAGTTGTTTTTTTTAGCACCATCCTCTGGTCACTTATGTTGAAATAATAGATTTCCATCTCCATTTCAAGAAAAAAAAAATCAAAAGATGGGTAGGTGGGTGACTCACAGGGTTAGTTCCCCAAACTGGCTGTGAATGGAGATGGAGCAGATATATTGTGATGAAGCAGAAATATTGTGATACAATGACTCTTTATTATTTGAATATGTATAGTTTAGTCTATAGCAGTGTTTCTCAACCTTGGTAGCTTGAAGATGGGTGGACTTCAACTCCCAGAATCCCCCAGCCAGCACTGCTGGCTGGGGGATTCTGGGAGTTGAAGTCCACCCATCTTCAAGCTTCCAAGGTTGAGAAACACTGGTCTATAGTCATGTAGTTAGCAATGCATCTAATTTGTCCAGGGGGATGGGGTGGGGGAAAAGGCTTTACACAAAGATGGGGATAAATACTGTAATGTGGCTTGATTTATTCCACACTTGTTTCTTAGGTGTACACCCAATATCATTACACATAACCTTCAAAGTGCAATGCAACAAATGGTGGTGTTCCTGATCCTTTTTGGCCAAGGAGAAAAAAACATGTAGTAAAGTCTGTAGCATTTTGTAAGACTGACAATAAGAGAGCCATCCCAGAAGCTACTACAGTTAGAACCCAGGCAGTGGTTCACAAGGTTTGCAGCCTCAGTTTCTTTTACAGAGGACCCAATTCCATCCTTTCAGATATTACGATGTGTGGACCGACTGTGGTGGAATCCTCTTCTAAAGAGACCCTGCCTGATTTTGGCATAAGGGCACCTGTAAGCAAGTATATTACCTGCTTTCTTAAAGAGGAGTCAGTTCCCTCCCCCAAGTCATCTGTGCAGTAGAGTTGTCCTTTGGAGAAGTCTCCTTTTTCTCTTCTTGTTAATTGCTGTTGACACCTCCAGTCTTAAAGATGCAGTATTGATGCACACTAATCAAGGGGTAGGGGGGAAGGGGGATAAATCATGTTGATTGATCTTTCTAAGTTCTCCTTGCCCCCAAAATCTGTGCTGTGCACTTCCACATTTTCCTTTGTCAGTCTGCTCACTTTCAGAGAATTGTGCCATGTGTTTTTCAACCAGACCATGGCAGAAAAGGCAGGGAAAAACAGAATGAAATAAAATAAGCCCACTTTTACCTTTTTTTTTTTTTGGGGGGGGGGGGGACTAGGATATTGTAAAAACTGAACATGCAATTGAAATCAAGCTTATTTTTATTCAGATTTGATCTCACCCTAACTGGGTACGTACCATTTTAGAACAGTTCTGGAATTCCTTGTGTTTGATGGGTGGCATGCTATATACTCTTGGCACCGTCTGATGCTTCTTTTCCCTCTTCTAATGGAAAAGGTTACTCCTTTTCAGGTCCTGCACAATGAAACTAAGTCACCAACTGTGAACCCAACTAGCTTCTGTCCTCTTCTCCTGTCATCCTCCCCTACATATCTTGATTGTCATCTTCCACTGCTTTTTATTTAACTTAACTGCCTTTCATTAACATCAGCCAGATGGTGAATAGTGGAATTTTCATACAATTCTGCATTTGGGTATTATTTTTATTTTTATTCTCTTGGGAGATGAGAGAATATTTTGAGGTGTCTGCTCCGATGGTTTACAGCTGAGAACTGGGGGGAGGGGAGTGAACAGGATTTGAGTTTTCATCAGAGGTCATAGTTCTGTTTCTGAGCTTGTGTGGCTTTGATAGTTCACGTGGCCCATAACTTAGCCTTCCACAATTTTCACCTTTCAGATATATTGGACTATAACTCCCATAACCCCAAGGTGCAAGCTGGTGCATTTGCAATGCACCAGCTTAAGGAACACTCTTCAGCAAATGTTTTGAGGGGAGGGGAAATGGGAACAGATAACATTTACTCAGTGCATTCCAACTTGTAATTTTCCATTTTATTTGCATCACCAACACTGAGATGATATACATTTTTTTTTGTCTTCTATTCTACCTCTGTATATGCTGTTTTTTTGCTTTGTAGTAACACAGGTTGGTGCGTCCCAGGGACATAACATGTGTCCGGACCCTGGGATTCCAGATCGGGGCAAAAGAATAGGCAATGATTTCAGGTAAGCATCTTTTCTTTCTTTCTTGTCATGCTTCATACTTACATGTTGAGCTACAGCCCTCATACATTTCAGCCAACACAGGTGTGAAGGTTGGCAGTAAGTTTTAGAAGGGAGGAGGTGTTGGGCAAATCCATCTACTATCCATGGTGTTTGTCAGAGCACCATCATTTAATTGAACCTGCATTATTGGAGGCAGTTGACGATTCCATCAGATAACAATTGGTGAAGATGAGGGAATGATTAATGAAGGCTACAGACACAGTGCCCTGTTCCAAGCTTTTCACAGAAGCAGCTGGCTGTCCATTGTCAAAAACAGGATGCTGGCATCCTGAAACTTTGATTTAATCAGCAAGGCTTTTATGTTTTTAAGAAATACACAGCCTGCCTATGATGCACAATTCTGATGTCATAATATCCTCTGATGTCTCTGTGTGTTCTCTCTGGGGGCGATGTTTTTTAAGAGCAGTCCCATGCACAAAAGTGAATTGGTACAGGGCGATAAGGAAAGGGAAGGAAAGGGAAGGAGAGGGGAGGGGAAAGGAAGAGAAAGGAAAAGGAGGGAAGGGAAAGGGAAAGGGAGGGAAAGGAAAGGAAAGAAAGAGAAGGAAAGGAAAGGAAAGGAAAGGAAAGGAAAGGAAGGAAAGAAAGAGAAGGGAAGGGAAGGGAAGGGAAGGGAAGGGAAGGGAAGGGAAGGGAAGGGAAGAGAAGAGAAGAGAAGAGAAGAGAAGAGAAGAGAAGAGAAGAGAAAGGGACAATGTTTTGAAAATGTTTTTTCAAGTTACTTCTCAGTGTTTTCAACCAAGATTCTTTTTTATTTGGCACATATTTCATGACAATTAAAATAGATGGCTCTTAATCCATTTTACCCATGCCATTTCAGTTCTGTTTATTGGAAAGCAAAATTGGTTGATCTCGGCTGCATTTAACTTCCAAGGTGGCATGTTTAAGATAATAGCTCAAACCTGGGTTCACATTGGCAGGAATCCATACTAAAATAGGACTCTAACATTCATCACTTGCTGTGTCAATATGAACATTTTCTGGTGTAACATCATTAGGTCTATATCAGCTTTGGTATGATATGATCAGTGAGCTATGAGAGTCCATTCGTCTTGCAAGAACATCAGAAGATGAGAACACAGATTTGTTAAAGCAGTCTTGGCCTTCCATCAGCTCTGTGGCATGTCCCATCTACTGCTAATTTACCATGTGATTCTGGGATGTAATATTTGTGATTTTTTTTTTTTTGAGTGCTCTGGATTGTTAGGAGTCAAAATATTTATTATTTATTATATTGAGAAGATTAAGGGGCAAAATAATTGTCTTAAAACTTGTAGAGTCATAAAATACCAATTTAATCCTTTTTTTAAAAAAAAAATCCAGAACCACAAATAGGACTATTTTTCACCACTGGGGGTGGGTTTAGGGGGCAAAATGGATATCTTATGTCTTGCACCCATTCCATTACCTTAATTCTCTATGCATTCAAATGGCCTAAAAGAATTGGCTCCACCAGATGATTGATATCATGACTTCTGTTGAAAGCCAGAAAAGTCAAAACCGAGTCTTCAGTCACAAGCAAGTTACCTACTCTTGACTGAATTATAAAATGGTGTCATAGGAGACTGGTTATTATTTCTATTTCATTCTATTTCATTTCTTTTAATTATGGTAATAATCTGGCAACTCTTGAGGAATCTTTCACACTGATTTGTTTTCCAAATGTGTCTACAATTTGTAGAAGAGTTCCTCGGGAGAAGGGCGGTATAGAAATTTAATAAAACCTAAAACCTAAAACCTAAACATGTCGTATCCAGGATTTCTGTGTTCTGTTGTTGCATTTCGTGTACAGTGCTCTAATTCTGATTAAGTATGCACACTAAAATGTGATTTTCATTTCTGCATGAAAGGAAGTCCATTGGGCATGTTAGTCAACTGTTGACTATGTGGAATATTGTTTATTTTGGTTGAATTTCTCACTGATGAAGCACCCATCCCCAATATACATAGACACACACAGAGAGAGAGAGGGGGGGGGGGAAGAGATGTACACACAAACTCGGATGATAGATGGATAGATAGATGGATGGATAGATAGATAGATAGATAGATAGATAGATAGATAGATAGATAGATATTCCTACAAGCTCTCAGAAAACAGTCCAGCCAGGAAAGTCATTGTATTATGTCTTAGCATCACCTGTGCTTCCCAAGGAAGGTCCCAGCTTGCCAGATGGATAGAATTTTAGCTTCATCTATGGCTTTTGGAACCTTCTGCGTGCAACAAGAAAGATGCTTGTTTTGTCATGCTTTTCCACAACCCCATTTTGAAACCATTGCACTAGAAAAAGGGAAGATGTGCAAGATCCCTCATTTCTCCTCTTTGCATCCCCAGGAGCTTCCTGCAAGTTAACAAATTTAATCAAAAGGATTGCCAAAAATCAGTGGCACAGCCTCTCAACAATTTAGGATGGGAGATATATGAAAATTGTAATGGGTACCCTACGTAGATTTAATACACATTTGCTTATTTGGTTGATGCCTCCCCCCCAGTAGTCTTCCCTATTACATATCTAATAATCCTTTCAGTACTGGGCAAAGGTATATAGTCTCTGGCCAGTAAAAATTTTCTCTGCTCTTTCAAAAATAATTAGGATGTTTTTAAGAAAAAGAAAAGGGGCCAACTGGGGGCTAAGTCATTCTATTGAATGGAGGTTGCTAGTAAATGTGGTATTTGCACAAAGATTTTACATATCACCTAGACCTTTTGAGAAACTTCTTTGTCTTGTTGATCATTCAGCGAAGGACTGAAAGTGGATTTGAATCCACATATCTCACATAATTGATAATCACATAGATTACTTTAAAGCTTTGTAGCTGTGATAGTTTTGTGTGTATGTGTCTGTGTGTGTGTTTGTATATACATACATACATACATACATACATGCATGCATATATACATACACCCAATGAATACTAGCCGATGTCAGGATTCGAAGGAACACCCCCAATTAAATAAAGCTCTGAGGTCTGAGGTTCCTCAAAGTTTCAATTTATTAGAGATGTCATATTGGCACATCTGGGAAAACCCGAATCTGAAAGCTTCCAGGTTTTCCACACCCAGCTAACAGGTCATAGCCCTGCCCCACATCCACAAGTTCATCACATTGTCCAATCAACTTGTCACACTCCACTGGATACAATCTTCAGGCAGTCTCCATCAGATGCAGGCAAAAGTCCTTGAAGACGGAATGTTGTTATGACTAACTTTCTACCGCTCCAACAACAACCTCCTCCCAACTTCCCCAGCTAAAATATGTGGCAGTTAAGAAGCAAAAAAGAAAATTGTCTTCCAAAACTGACAGCCGACTTATTGCCACACAAATTACACAAAACCCATGTTTTGGATTTGAGGAAGTGAACTAAGGTCCCCAAATGCTTATGTGTTGATAAATCTGTTAATCTTTAGGGTGTCACAAGCTTTTGAGATTAAAGCTTTATTCCCCACTCTTATGGGGAAAGCATTTTACGATGCTTTCATATCCATATCCAACCATATGGATAGTTGACATATTCATGTTGATCAGTTGATGATGGCCTCGTAACATGTCTACTTTGCTCCTGGGAACTGAACAACTGCAGATCCAGTCGGAGCATATGTATCACTTCTAATGCCGTGCCTTTGGTGGAATAGGGTCACACATTACTGCTGAGAAGCCATAACCATCGTGTATGTGTGAATCACTCCTGGATGTGTTTCCCTCCAGCCATGCCAGCTGACTTCACCAACACTTTGTCACCTCCTGCTTTTGTGCGTAAGAAGCAGATCAGTCTCTTCGTGTTAGGCATGTCAGCAAGCAGGGATGGGGGTGGGTGAGTCAGAGTGCAGATCAATATTTAATTTTATGTCTCTGTAGATAACTTTTTTTTTTTTTTTGCCAGAAGCATATAGTCATGTTTTTCCCACTCTCCATGAAATAAGGGCTGGAACTAAAGGAATAATCTTGCCCAGTGTGAGATGGAATGGGACAAGAAAGAGAAAATAGTCCCTAGAATAATTTGATTTTACATAATGGCAGCTTCCAAAACATGTCAGGAGTCTCTCCCATTTCCATCCTCCTGTAAAATCTCCAATAAACTAGAAAAGAAAAAGATTTAGTGAGCTGAACCATCATGCCTACAGATATTAAACTAATGTTTCCTGCAGATTTAGTAATGCCAATATGTGAGTTCAGTATAAAAATGAGTCTTTGAAGCCTCAAAAATTTATCTTTATGAGCCTGATAAATATTGCAGTGACATTTCCACTATATTCTAAAACATTGTGGGACAACAGTGAATGTATCTCAGAATATGATTCATCATAGAAGATGCTTAAATGGATCATTATTCACATAATTGGATGAAGTCTGAATATCCAGAAAAATGCAATTTGTCAATATAAGATAAGCAACTTGTTTCTTCATAGTCCCTGCACTGCAATTTTACAATTGGAGCCTAAATTGCATGTATTGTAAGGAAATTGATCTCAGTGTATGCATTGTCTAGAGCAGTATTTTTCAAACTTTGCAACTTTAAGATGCATGAACATGCTCACTGAGGAATTCTAGGAGCTAAAACAGGGGTGAAATCCAGCAGGTTCTGACAGGTTCTGGAGAACCGGTAGCGGAAATTTTGAGTAGTTCAGAGAACCGGCAAATAGCATCTCTGGCTGGCCCCAGAGTGGGGTGGGAATGGAGATTTTGTAATATCCTTCCCCTGCCATGCCCACCAAGCCACACCATGCCCACCAAGCCACGCCCACAGAACCAGTAGTAAAAAAAAATTGAATTTCACCACTGAGCTAAAGTTTACACATCTTAAAGTTGCTAAGTTTGAAATGCACAGGTCTAGAGCATCACTTTGACATCTGCAGTGATACCCTATTCATTTTCAGATCTGTTAAAAGACTAAGAGACTTTATTCAGTAATGGTATGTAAATTTCTCCATATAGATTTCTTAAATCAGAACTGTTTTGTTAGTTTTAAATAGCAATGTTTCCAAGCCTCTTCCATCCTCTACATTTATTTTATTTTATTTTATTTATTTGCACATATTTATATGCCACCCTTCTCCCAAAGGACTCAGGGCGGCGAACACAAGCAAAAACATGCAATAAAAATCCGAATTAAAACCAGTTAAAATAAAGTAATAATAAATAATAAAAACCAAGAATCTGAATCAGCCCATTTGTTGAAATAGCCAAGTCTTCAGGCTTCGACGGAAGGAACGGAGATCAGGCACCATCCGGAGTTCGGTGGGTAACTCGTCCCAGAGGGTAGGGGCGCCCACAGAGAACATATTCTAAAAGTCTTATGAGATCTACTCATTTGGTACATTTTGAAATTCAGAATTCAGTTAGGACAGGTTGGGAAAAATGCAGTGGATCTGTGGAATATTCTACACTGTTGATCAAATATCTGTTGTTACATACCTTGAACGCTGTAATGCCATGGAGATGTAACATGCTAAAAATGTCTAGATACCTACCAGAGTGATTGAATGTATGTACAGTATATATGCATGTCCACATATATGTATTGCATTTTTGTTCCAGTTGTCAATGGTACTTAAGATAGCTAAAAAAAAGTAATGTAATTTTAAAAGCACAATTAAAAGTACCATCAGCAAAATAATTCACATTGAACTACCTAAAACCTGATCTAGCAACCACTTTTCTCATTTCTAATAAAATTATTTTACCCACCAGCAGAAGGGAATCAATATAAACTCCACCCAAAGTTTTTGGCATTCAGATAATATACAAGATTAATAAATTATTATTATTATCTGCCAGTTCTTTATCTAGTGTTGACCTTTATTTGTGTTGAGTTCTTCCCAAGTATTTAGTTTGTCACAATATATCAGCATAGTATATGTGCAGATCTAAGCAATGTGGCCTTTTGTAATTGACAGATGGAAATTTTGTCAATGTATACCATGTTTCCCCAAAAATAAGACCCTGTCTTATATTTTTTTGAACCCTGAAATAAGTGCTTGGCCTTATTGCCATGCGCTCAAAAGCCTGATTGGGCTTATTATTATTAGTGGATGTCTTATTTGGGGGGGGAAACAGGGTAGAAATTACTAAGGGCCATCCAATTTTTTTTTCCCCAGTATGGTATCTGATGTGTTGATAACCGCTGGGACCACCCTATCTGGTTTATGCCATAGTCTTTCAACTTTGGTTTTCAAATCTTCGATACTTTATAATTTTCTCCAGTTCTTCTATTCTAATATCCCCTGATATCACTGCATTGGTTACCCACACTTCCTTCTTTTCAACCATAGTTAAATCTGGTGTGTTATGGGCCAAGACTTTATCAATTTGCATTTGGAAATCCAACATTTATTTTCATTGCTGTTATCATATCTGGATGAAGAATTCTATAACCCAGGAGTTCCCTATGAAAGAAAACAAATAAGAAACAAAACAGAGCATCCAAAATCTGTGCCTGAAGCTAGAGTGCAAGTCAGTAATGGGCTTCCTGTGTTCCAGGTTAGGATCCAGTGTCCAGTTCACCTGCGGTGAAGGTTATGACTTGCAAGGCTCCAAAAGCATCACCTGTAAGAAGCTGAGTGGTATGATAGCTGCCTGGAGTGACCAGAGACCTGTGTGTCGAGGTAAGATAAATGGCACCAAAAATTACAAATGAGGCAGGAAATTGAGTTCAATTATCACCTTTAGTAGTAGAGGATCATTATAGGAAATAAAACTCATCTAATAGTGATTCTTTTATCTAGAGATCATCCACTATTTAGTGGCTTGGTGAGTCGTAAACTATGATACTTACAATAGGTTTGTTATAAGTTGGTTCTAATAATTTATCCCTGTTTATTCATCTAAAGAAATGTAAATTTACATTTACGTCTAAATTTCTCCTCTAAAATATATGTGGTCTCCATGTAATTCTGAGCCCTTATTGTTTAGCTTTCAAGGAAGCAGAGCTGGATGCAAATCAGCATTCCCCAGATCTCCAAACTTTCTCCAAATTATTGTATGGTCTACATATATAAATACATGTGTAATCCTCAATCTATTTTTCTAAGCTCTACTATTAAGTACATGATCAGGAAATTTCAATGAGCTTTTATCTACATACATTCTTATAAGGCTATGATCAACACTATTGGGCTTAAACAGACTATGGCTAGGAAGGGGTTCTGTTGGCAGAATTTTATTTTATACAATATCTTCATAAACGACTTAGATGAGGGAATAGAAGGGGAACTCACCAAATTTGCAGATGATACAAAGCTGGCAGGAATAGCTAAAACTCTAGAAGACAGGCTCAAGATCCAGAAGGATCTTGACAGAGTTAAACACTGGGCCCTATCTAACAAAATGAAATTCAATGTAGAGAAAAGTAAAGTCTTACACTTAGGTAAAAAAAACCAAAAGCACACATACAAACTGGGAGAAACCATGCTTAATAGCAGTGACTGTGAGAGGGATCTTGGAGTCTTAGTGGACAACCAGCTAAATATGAGCCAGCAGTGTGCAGCGGCAGCTAAAAAACGCCAACACAATCCTAAATTGCATTAACAGAGGGATACAATCAAGATCAAGTGAGGTCCTAATACCACTCTATAAAGCCCTAGTAAGACCACACCTAGAGTACTGCATCCAGTTTTGGTCACCACACTATAAAAAAGATGTTGAGACTCTAGAAAAAGTGCAGAGGAGAGCAACCAGGATGATTAGGGGGCTGGAGACTAAAACATATGAAGAACGGTTGCAGGAATTGGGCATGGCTGGTCTAGTGAAGAGAAGGACCAGGGGAGACAGGATAGCAGTCTTCCAATATTTGAGGGGCTGCCACAGAGAGGATGGGGTCAAGCTGTTTTCCAAAGTCCCCGAAGGCCAGACAAGGAATAATGGATGGAAACTGACCAAGGAGAGATTCAACCTAGAAATGAGGAGGAACTTTCTGACAATGAGAACAATCAACCCATGGAACAGAAGTTGCCTTCGGAAGTGGTGGGAGCTTCATCACTTGAGATTTTCAAGAAAAGATTGGACTGCCATTTGTCAGAAATGGTGTAGAGTCTCCTGCTTGAGGGGGGGGGTTGGACTAGATGACCTATACGGTCCCTTCCAACTCTGTTAATCTGTTAAAAGAAGGATCTCTAGTTTTAAACAAGCAATAAGTGAAAGAGAAAGTTTATGATCTCACAAATATGGGCACTGTATATGTAGGAATGACTATGCTTGAAATGCCATTCCTCTGTGGTACGAAGGTTCTTGATCATGTTGAATGTCAATTTTTGTTTTATCTTGAGGAAGACCATTGAGAAATCAAGCATTTTTTTCTTCAAGAGCAGCTTGCTCAGGGAAGATTTCTTTTAAAAATTAGACCATAATTTGTATTCCAAGTAACCAGTGAAAGGCTTCTGCCATGAATGTTGGTCAATGAACCACACAGTTGGAAAGGATTGAAAAGTTGGTTGTTGGATTAGAATGGTCCCTTCAGTAGCACATGGGAATATGAGTTTTAAGACTTTAGGATGAAATTGTTCGTTAGAACACTTGTTCTTTGTTTGCATGTCTTCTACTTCCATAGTGTATTCAAGTAATAGATGAAATCTTTTTCAATACTAGCAACAAAACATGTCAGAGAGCTGTCCACTGGGAATGTACAAATGGACTTCAATCCATACACTCTAATGCATTTATATGCACTTTCATGAAAATAACAGAATTTACCTTCTGGGCCTGCTCTGCAGAAATGATTTTTTAAGCTACTAATTAAACATTGGAGAGAGTCTGTTCGATGTGATCTATGATGCCTCTACATGCCAGGACCAATTCTGAGTTTATAAGGACCTCACTTGGACATTTACCGTATTTTTTGGAGTATAAGACTTACCTTTTTTTCCCAAAAAAGAGGATAAAAATCTGGGTGCGTCTTATACTCTGAATGTAGTCCCGCCCAGCTTCTCAAACGGAGGTTTCAGAGGCTGAAAAAAGCATCAGAAATGAAGCTTCAGAAAAGAAGCCCCCAAACAGAGCTTCAGAAAAGAGGCTCCCAAACAGAGTTTCAGACGCTTTTTTTCTGAAGCTGTTCTGGAGGCTTTCAGAGGCAGAAAAAAAAGCAAAAAAAAAAAGCAAGACACAGAGCTCACAACCAAGGAACCTGTTGCTAAAATTCACCTCTGGGGGTGATTGGGGGTATTCTAGGAAGCCGATCCACCCACCAATCAGCTTTTTTCTTATTTTCCTCCCCAAAAACTAAGGTGTGTCTTATACTCCAGTGTGTCTTATATTCCGAAAAATATGGTATATATGAGAAAGTCAGATCCAGTCACCATGCATCATTGGAAGTAAATGCATTGCTATTTAGGGAGTGCCCCATAAGTATGCTCTTGATTCTCTCTTATGCAGTCCATAAACCCATGTTTAAGTTTTTCAGAAAACATTATGCAATCCTTTTACTGGCAGAAGATGAATCTGACAACTCTTAATCTCCATAGCTATTGTTTTAGGATGACAGTGAATATGGGGACAGGTAGTCTCACATCAGTTGTCCAACATGGATCTTTGATGTTTTATTATATATATTTCCTGGATTTTATTTCCACATATTCAGTCCTTGCTTTTTGTCAGTTTTCTCCAGTTGAAAGTTCTCCACATAGAGTGAATCATATAATTGGAAGGGACATTTAGGCTGTTGAATGCAGCTCTCTCTCCAGGGCAGAAAGCCAAATTAAGGAACTATGAGAATTGGTAGCCCATATATTCATCATTCCTCAAGAAGTACAACCCCAGTCATTTGGAAGATGATGGGATTTGTAGTGTGTTATATCTTCTGTCCAGCCCAAAACCATGAAAGACATGTGGTGAAACTTCCAAGCTAAGTTCGTTGTTGTTTACCATCTAAAGGCAAACTCATGCCAGATTGAAGATTCCACTGTGCTCATCCAACATATACTCTGCGAACTATTAAGAAGGGGCTGTCTTCACTCTTTTTCTCTCGCAAATGAACTAGGCTACGTTATCTCTTACTTCTCTGGAATGCACCCGGTCTCTCCTAGCTATCCACTCCTTGCTGCATTCCATCACAGAAGGGACCTTCCCTAATCCTCTAGAACAGGGGTCTCCAACTTTAAACACTCAAAGAGCCACAAAGGTCCTAACCGGAAGCCCCCTGTTCAATTCTGGAGCCAACCAGCAGTTTCCCCCATCATAGTATCTCCTCCTAGCGCGGCATCCTTTTTCCTCTGCCGACTGGAAGTCCAGTTCCCCCACCATAGAGTCTCCTCCTAGTGTGGTGTCCTTTTTCCTCTACCTATCCTAACTGAAAGCCCTATCAATTCTGGAGCCAACTGGTGACAGGGAGCTACAGCAGAGGGATGAAAGAGCCACATGCGGCTCCAGAGCCGCGGGTTGCTGACCCCTGCTCTAGAAAGTAAGGACAGGGGAGAGGGAAAGTGTTTTCAGACTTATTATTATTTATTATTATTTTTGTATACCGCCCTACTCCCGAAGGACTCAGGGTGGTGAACAGCCAAATAAAATACATATAATACAAATGTTAAAAAACTATTAAAATACAATTAAATAATTGGCCCAGAGAACGAAATTTAAAACACCCCAAATTCATAAGACAAATTTAAAATTTAGAAATTTTAAATTTTTTAAAAAAAAGTTTAAAAGAGAGGTTAGGCTAGGCCGGCCTGCTGGAAAAGAAATGTTTTGATGGCACGGCGGAAAGCGCGCAGGTCCGGGATCCTCCGTATCTCCGGGGGGAGCTTGTTCCAGATGGCGGGTGCCCCCACTGAGAAGGGTCTCCTCCTGGGGGCCGCCAGTTGACATTTTTGGCTGACAGCACCCTGAGGAGCCCTTCTCTAGGGGAGCGTGCTAGTTGGTGAGAGGCTACTGGTGGCAGAAGGCGGTCTTGTAGATACCCTGGTCCTAAGCCATGGAGCGCTCTAAAGGTGGTAACCAAAACCTTGAAGCGCACCCGGAAGACCACCGGGAGCCAGTGCAAGATTGTTATCCCCCTTTTGAGATAAACCAGACAGAAAAACAAAACCAATAAAAGTATTAATACTACTTTTATTGTAAGGCTGCAGTAACAAGATTTTATTTATTTGTTTGTTTAATTATTTCATTGTTTAATTCATTAAATTCATAGGGCAGTTTACCCAAAAGATTATATTGTGCAAATCTGAAAGCATTTCTTTCCCTAGAAAACTAGGGAAGGTCTCTTCTGAAGTGCTTCCCATGCTCCTTTGTTCTGTGAACTGTGATGTCTCTTGTTTGACCATTGTCTGGTCTGGGATTCTTCCTCCTGTGAGAAGGTTGTTCTCGCAGCTCATCACACTTAATAGGGAAAACTACTCCATATAGTTCTGGCTAGCTAATCTTTTGATCTGACAGAATACAAAACAGTTTTCTGTTCCTATTCAGCCTGTTTTCTTCTAAAATCTCTTTTTTTCTATTTTAGTCAAATTGTCTTAGACAAAGTCTGCCATCTCTACAGTCTAGGCCTCTCATAAAATATTTATTATGTTAACATTTGATTAGGTCCATGATGGCCAACCTAGGGCAAACGTGACACAGGTGGCACACAGAGCCCTCTCTGCGGGCACGCCAGCCATCGCCCCAGCCCAGCTCTACCGCGTATGTGCACGCACCTCCCGTGGCCAGCTGGTTTTCGGGTCTCTGCTGCACATGCTGGGGTCAGGACATATGAGTGGGGGGCACTCACATTGCATTTTGGGGATTGGGGTCTATTTGGAGCCTAGAAGGCCTCCTGCACCAACCTGGAAGCCAAAACAGGGGTTGGGGGCACCGCATGAAGCCCCCCTGTGCCCCATTTTGGACCTGGAAGGTCTGCACCAACCTGGAAGCCAAAATAGGGCGTGGGGGCACTGCATGAAGACCTCTTGCACCCTGTTTTTAGCCTGGAAAGCCTCTTGCACCAACCTGGAAGCCAAAATGGGGCGTGGAGCAGCAGGACTCATGGGCGGGGCCATGCACGAATGTGTGGGGAACACACGTGCATGCGCGGGATAGGGCACATGCACGGGGTGCTCGCATTGCATTTTGGATGTTTGGGCACACACATATGCATTTGCGTGCATGCGCACATGCACTTTGGGCACTTGGCACCAAAAAGGTCACTGGATTAGGTCTTCAAAAAAAAAAAAAAGTTGCAGCCATTTTGTACAATGTAGGGGCATTCTAAAACAGTTGAACACTTAAACTTGTTTTGTAACCAGACCTAAACCTCTGCATTCAACGCTTCTTGTTAAGCAGATTTCACTTTATTTTGCAAGAAGAAGAAATAGTGTCAAATTTCTACCCCAAGGTATAAAGATAAAAGATCAATAACATGCTACCCCAAACAGACGATTGATAGGATCTTAAGGTTCAGGGCATTCTGCAGGTTAGTCTCACAGCAAGACATCTGACTTCATGTGAGAAGCTTATTCTGAGGTCTTGTGAGCTGAATCACTACTGGTTTGAGTATGGAGAATACTGAGCATCCCTAGGAAAAGTGTTCAGGAAAAAGAGTTCCTTTAAAAGAAAAGTAGAACTTTTCTTTTTGGGAAATAATTTAACAAAAAAGAAAGATGGAAAATAATCCCCTGAAAGTAAAATATTGATATAACATATTCCATAAGAAATCTTTAATATTGCATACTATCCTAAATCTCTAAAGTCTACTCTTGTATCCTTATGCATCTAAGTCTTACCTGGATGAGCACAGCCATGGAATTTTAGGAGAAGAAAGTATTAGATTTCTGCATGTGCCTCTTTTTTGTATGCATGTCCGTATTACCTGCACATAAATTCTTAAATTCACATAATTTTCATTAGGTCGGAAGATCTGTATGCAGATATAGCAAGAATAGGATACTTCAGGCAAGGTGCTTACCTGTAACAGCTTCAGAAGTGCTGTATTTTTCGGAGTATAAAACGAACTGGAGTATAAGACACACCTTAATTTTGGGGGAGGAAAATAGGGGGGAAAAAATTCTGCCTATCAGGTATTCATCTGGCTAGCGTCCTTAGTCTGATCAGCTTCAGCCTATTAGTTTACTGGTTTTGAGTGCGCATGCGTGCTTTTTATCCCCTGATTGGGGATAAAAAACAGCTTCTAAAGACAGCTGATTGCCAGAGAGAGAAGCAATGAGAAAAGCAGGCAAAGCGCAGAAGATCGCTTCACTCGCTAGCACCTTGTTAGGGCTGAAAAAAAGCTTCTAAAGCACAGCTGATCGTCCGAGGGAGCAGCAATGAGAAAAGCAGGCAACAGCTTCTAAAGGACAGTTGATAGTCAGAGAGAGAAGCAATGAGAAAAGCAGGTGAAGCTTCACTCACTAGCACCTCGTTAGGGCTGAAAAAAAGCTACATTCAGAGTATTAGACTCATCCAAATTTTCAGCCTCTTTTAGGGGGGAAGAAGTGTGTCTTATACTCCGAAAAATATAGTATGTTCCTCTCCTAGATACTTTTGCCTTATCTTAGGAAGCATGTAGGAGCTCCAGTTTGTAAACAGGCCTCCTCAGAGTCATTGTTTCTTTCAAGAAACAGTGACATCTCAGCTCTAACTAATGCAACCAAAGTAGCTTTTGAGTTATTCTGTTAATGTGCCTTGTATCTGACCTAAGTAGAAAAATTTAATGAATTGTCTTTTTTTTCTAAGATGTTATCCTGGCAATGACCTCATAGAGAATTGTTAGAAAATAGCCTTACAATTCAGACCCAAGACATGATGTTGATTTTTTGATTCAATTTGTAAAGCACTTGTAGTGCTTTGACTATTTACTTTTTAATGCCCAACTGTTAAAATGTAATCCTCTATGCATTACTCAGGTATCTGTCCAGCGAGGCTTACTCTTAGGAACATAGATATAGGATTGAATTAGTATTACCAGCGAGAAGCAAAATAAAAGCATCCACACCTCTATAAATTACTTTCCCCCATTTATAGAAATGGCTTTCTTTAAATAAATTTCATTTTGAAATTTTTTTTTTTGGGGGGGGGACATTCCTTGGATTGATCAGAGCTTACCCAACTATTTCTAGTTTTGTGGCTATTCTCTTCACAGTTTTAAAAAAAACTACAAGATTTTGAAGAGAAAGTATTTGGTTTGGGGAGGGCATGGAGATTAGAATCCTTGAGAGCTCCATCAATGTGATTTTTTTCTGAATAGTTTTTATCCCAGAGCTCTAATTGCACTCAACAATGAACTAAAGGGCCACCATCCATGAGCTGTTGGACAGCATTACTTGGTCTGTTGTGTGGATGTTTGGGTGGTTTAGGGGCGGGTGGGAGTGTGTTTGGAGATTGTTATGTGTGTTGGACCTGGTCTTTGGGTGTTAAGTGAATTTTGTTGTATGGGTATACTGTGTATACACGTACAATGACAATAAAGTTATTATATTATTATATAATAGATGCATTTGGTTCATAATCATACATTTTGTGCAAAACCTCTTTCTCTTGCATATCAAGAGAAACCTTTCTACCATCCTATGACTTGATTGATAGAAATGGTAAAACAAAGAAATATACCTCCTTCCACACTGCTTTCATTTTCTAGGCTCTTAAGAGAAGGAACGTTGCAAACAAAAGTTCCATCTACAAATAGATTTCCTGTTTCTTCTTCTTCTTTTTTCCCAACTCCACAGCTAGAATGTGTGATACGTACCTCCGAGGGCCCAGTGGTATTATCACATCTCCTAATTATCCTGTCCAGTATGATAACAACGCATACTGTGTGTGGGTGATCACAGCAGTCAATCCAGCCAAGGTAAGACTTCTGGATGCATTATTGGGCAACTAAATGTTGGATCTTGTCTGAAAAGGAAATTAGTCTTTGGGGACAGAGGATCATTTTCCAAAACAATTGGTCTTTGCAGGCTCTTCTGTTAAGAAAGGTTTTCAATGTTACACAAGACAACGTAATCCAATGTTTCTTAAGCTTGAAAACTTTAAGATGTGTGGACTTCAATTCCCAGAATTTTCAAGCCTGGATGCATTATTGGGCAACTAAATGTTGGATCTTGTCTGAAAAGGAAATTAGTCTTTGGGGACAGAGGATCATTTTCCAAAACAATTGGTCTTTGCAGGCTCTTCTGTTAAGAAAGGTTTTCAATGTTACACAAGACAACGTAATCCAATGTTTCTTAAGCTTGAAAACTTTAAGATGTGTGGACTTCAATTCCCAGAATTTTCAAGCCTGGATGCATTATTGGGCAACTAAATGTTGGATCTTGTCTGAAAAGGAAATTAGTCTTTGGGGACAGAGGATCATTTTCCAAAACAATCGGTCTTTGCAGGCTCTTCTGTTAAGAAGGGTTTTCAATGTTACACAAGACAATGTAAACCAATGTTTCTTAAGCTTGAAAACTTTAAAATGTGTGGACTTCAATTCCCAGAATTTTCCAGCCTGTGAGGTGTGGTGCTCAGTGGTGAAATCCATTTTTTTTACTACCGGTTCTGTGGGCGTGGCTTGGTGGGTGTGGTGTGGCTTGTTGGGCGTAGCAGGGGAAGGATACTGCAAAATCTCCATTGCCATCCCACTCTAGGGCCAGCCAGAGGTGATATTTGCCAGTTCTCTGAACTATTCAAAATTTCCGCTACCGGTTCTCCGAACTGCTCAAAATTTCTGCTACTGGTTCTCCAGAACCTGTTGGATTTCAGCCCTGATGGTCCCTATGGAGGGGGAGGCATTGTGAAGGAGCAGGGTTTTTTTGCAAGGAGGGAACACATGCCAAGGAGGGGAGCTGAGACAAGAAGCAACACAATTCAGAGCTGGATAGGACACAGTGGAAGAGGGTTAAGATAGCTAGAATCACCTAGATTATATTTGTTGAGTGTGAGTAGTAAGGATTTAGTCTGGCAAGATTCTGTCTGTTGTGTGTAAGCAAATAAAGAACTGAACTCTGACTTGATTGTTTTGCATCATTCTTGGACTAAGCCTGGGGAATTGTAGGAGTTCTTAAAGTGGCCAAAGTTGAGAAACACTGATACAGACCAACAAGTCAACCCCTAGTTGGGATTTGAGAGATAGAATGAGGATTGTAGCAAAGAAAGTAAGTGTAACTGTATATCAAACTATATTTGATTACTGATTCAGTCTAGCAGCATTTAAGCAACATTTTATTGGCGGACAGATATGTAACAGTCTGTTTACTCAGATTTTTAAAAAATGATTTTGAGCAGTTCAAGCAATAATCTAATCTTCTTCTTTTCCTGTTTCAATTCATTCTGCTATTTCTAATTGAAAGGCCCTTGCATTATCTGTCAGGTATCTGGGGATATTAATTTACAAATAAAATGGTTTTTACACTTGTTCATGCTTTAAAATCTTTACATTCATTGATTGTATCAATTTATTTATTTATTTTGCTGCTGATATAATTTGGTCTGAACATAATTTTATCAGGGAGATAGCAAAGAGTTGCATCACAACTGCTTATTTGTTTAGAATACTTTAGCCCATGGCCTTATCCTTCCATCTTCAAGTTTTCACACTCAATTGTGGTGGTTTTCAAAAATAATCTGAAGTAAGACCACGGATGTCCATATAATAAGGGGGAAAAAGCCAAGACGGTAGTCACAGGGGTAAAATCCAGCAGGTTCTGACAGGTTCTGGAGAACCTATGGCGGAAATTTTGAGCAGTTCAGAGAACCGGTAGCGGTAATTTTGAGTAGTTCGGAGAACTGGCAAATACCACCTCTGGCTGGCCCCAGAGTGGGGTGGGAATGGGGATTTTGCAATATCCTTCCCCCAGGAGTGGGGTGGGAATGGAGATTTTGCAATATCCTTCCCCTGCCATGCCCACCAAGCCATGCCCACCAAGCAACACCACGCCCACCAAGCATGCCCACAGAACCAGTAGTAAAAAAAAATTGGATTTCACCATTGGGTAGTCATGATAGTGTAATCAAAGCTCTGCCTGTGATTTATATATGTTGCATCTCCGGCTGAGCTTGTGCCACTCCCGTCAGCTTCATCACGAGGTGAGAGAGAGGGTGGTAAATCTCAGCAGACTCTGCTACCTCCCCAGTGTCTTCCCCACAACAACAACAACAACAACAACAACAACAACAACAAAATGGGCTTAAAGTGCTGGCTTTGCTTACTCCATAATAATAAATATATGATCCCTAACCATAAGAAAGGGAAGAGGGGTAGAAAAGAAAGGGAACAAAAAGGAAAGCACATTACTGGGGATTCTGGAATTCAGTGCTTTTCTGTTAGGCTCCAAAACCAAGAAAGAAATCTTCCGAGGTGATTTCTTTATTATTCCACACCTATAGACAGAATCTTGCCAGCCTTAGCACTCCATATCTACCACATACTCTGTGAACTATTAGGGTGGGGCTGTCTTCACCCCCTTTCTCTCACACAACTGAGTGCTTCTTATTCCATGGGAATGTGCCAGTGTTGAAATCCATTTTTTTTTACTACTGGTTCTGTGGGCGTGGCTTGGTGGGCATGGTGTGGCTTGGTGGGCGTGGCAGGAGAAGGATACTGCAAAATATCCATTCCCTCCCCACTCCTGGGGGAAGGATACTGCAAAATCCCCATTCCCTCCCCACTCCAGGGGAAGGATATTGCAAAATCCCCATTCCCTCCCCACTCCAGGGGAAGGATACTACAAAATCCCCATTCCCTCCCCACTCCTGGAGGAAGGATATTGCAAAATCCCCATTCCCTCCCCACTCCAGGGGAAGGATACTGCAAAATCCCCATTCCCTCCCCACTGCTGGGGGAAGGATATTGCAAAATCCCCATTCTCTCCCCATTCCAGGAGAAGGATACTGCAAAATTCCCATTCCCACCCCACTCCTGGAGGAAGGATATTGCAAAATCCCCATTCCCTCCCCACTCCTGGGGGAAGGATATTGCAAAATCCCCATTCCCTCCCCACCCCTAGGGGAAGGATATTGCAAAATCCCCATTCTCTCCCCACTCCAGGGGAAGGATACTGCAAAATCCCCATTCCCACCCCTCTCCTGGAGGAAGGATATTGCAAAATCCACATTTCCTCCCCACTCCTGGGGGAAGGATATTGCAAAATCTCCATTCCCATCCCACTCTGGGGCCAGCCAGAGGTGGTATTTGCCAGTTCTCCAAACTGCTCAACATTTCTGTACCGGTTCTCCAGAACCTGTCAGAACCTGCTGGATTTCACCGCTGGAATGCACCCTCCCCTTCTTGGGGAGCTTATTAGTCCCCATCACGTTTTACCTGCCCTCCAAACGCAGAAACTTTTTCTCCTCTTCTCCTCACAAAGTGAAGGTCTCCCCCTGGAAGGGGCAGTTGGGCAACCCACAGGGATAAAACATTTCCCTCCATCCATTTCTGACGCATGACAACTTGGTTATGTGGAGGGAAAATGTTCCTTCACAAAGGCAGAGGAAGAGAAGAAGCAAATATAGGAGTTGCTTTTTTTGCTAATCCAACTACACCAGCTGTTGCCCTAGCAAAATTGTTCTTGGCGTGTTTCATGTTTTCTACTTCCACGCCCTTCACTTTCTTAATGCTTGTTTCTGGGAATTAGATGATTGGTCCAAATCTGCCTTGATGTTTTTTTAAAAAGGTCAAAAACACCCTCTTGGCAGCATCCTGCTTGTTGCTATTAGTGCAAAGAGCTGTTTCAAGTCTGACGTCGGTAGCATTTCCCAGCATTTAAATGGCTTGGGATGTTCCTCAAAGTCCTGTGGGTTTTTTTTTTCTTTTTCTTTCAGCCAGACAAGGCAGAGGAGAGATAGAGAAAATAGGGGGGAGGAGAAAAACAAATCAATTCCTTTGAACATTTTATTGGTGTCCCCAGATTCTGCTGGGGTTGCAGAAATGTGTAGCTGAAAACCAAGGCTGAATAAAGAATACAAATCATGTGCTGAATTCACTTCTATTAGAATAACTTAGTATCCTGATTTTTTTTTTCCCCACGGGTGGCTGTTTCTATCAGACAACAATGTAGCAGGCTAAAAATATCCATTTCCAAATAGCAAACACAACAGATGCACTTGTCGCAAATTCAGTAGAAAACTATTCTTGCCCTTTAGCTGAATCTTGGTTTGCTTTAGCGTAGTTTAGTGAATAGACTGATAGATTGGATTCACAGATCACACTTAGCCATAAACCATATCTTACAAGCACCAGTGGCTAAATTTACTTAAATTACAAGCAGAAGGCTCTTGATGTCATCCTCAACTTATCCATTGAAAGGCACCTCAAAACTGACACTAACCCAGGGGTCTGCATCCTTAAACACTCAAAGAGCCATTTGGATGCATTTTGCACAGAAAAGAAAACACCGGGAGCCAAAAAACCCTTCCCGTGCCTGACTATTTCTTGAGCGGCCACAAAACTAGGATATGTAGTTGAATTAAATGTTCTGTTTTCTTCTGAGTTTTTTCTTTTCTTGGATTTATCCGTGGTTGGCCTACCGGGGGGTTTGAAAAGCTCAATAAATCATAGGCTGGTGGGTGTCGGACATTGACAGTTGTGATGCATATTTTGAGTGACAGGGAGCCGCAGCAGAGGAGTCAAAGAGCCACATGCGGCTCCAGAGCCGCAAGTTGCTGACCCCTGCACTAACCGATGCTTTTCTCCACTTCAGGTCTCCCCATACAAGTAACTTTAAGATGGGTGGACTTCAGTTCCCAGAATGCTGGCTGGGAATTAGAGAAACACTCAACTAAACAATGACTTTTCAGGCTGAATGACCACATTCTAGCTTTCTAACATTTCACCAGGCTGGCATCTTCAGAAGCAGCATGGCCTTCTCTGTG